CTTCTTGTTACTCTTAACATCTCTTGCTAGCTGCAACTCCAGGTGTGATTTGGCCTTCCTGATTTCACTCCTGCATGCCCGAGCAATATTTTTATACTCTTCCCTGGTCATTTGTCCAATCTTCCACTTCTTGTAAGCTTCTTTTTTGTGTTTAAGATCAGCAAGGATTTCACTGTTAAGCCAAGCTGGTCACCTGCCATATTTACAATTCTTTCTACACATCGGGATGGTTTGTCCCCGTAACCTCAATAAGGATTCTTTAAAATACAGCCAGCTCTCCTGGAATCCTTTCCCCCCTCATGTTATTCTCCCAGGGGATCCTGCCCATCAGTTCCCTGAGGGAGTCAAAGTCTGCTTTTCTGAAGTCCAGGGTCCGTATTCTGCTGCTCTCCTTTCTTCCTTGTGTCAGGATCCTGAACTCGACCATCTCATGGTCACTGCCTCCCAGGTTCCCATCCACTTTTGCTTCCCTTACTAATTCTTCCCGGTTTGTGAGCAGCAGGTCAAGAAGAGCTCTGCCCCTAGTTGGTTCCTCCAGCACTTGCACCAGGAAATTGTCCCCTATACTTTCCATCACCCTTGTAGCTCACACTTCTAAACTTAATCCAGAGACTCTCAGGTTTTTCTGCAGTTTCATACCGGAGCTCTGAGCAGTCATACTTCTCTCTTACATACAATGCAACTCCCTCAACTTTTCTGCCCTGCCTGTCCTTCCTGAACAGTTTATATCCATCCATGACAGTACTCCAATCATGTGAGGTATCCCACCAAGTCTCTGTTATTCCAATCACATCATAATTCCTTGACTGTGCCAGGACTTCCAGTTCTCCCTGCTTGTTTCCCAGGCTTCTTGCATTTGTTTATAGGCACTTGAGATAACTTGCTGTTTGTCCTGCTTTCTTAGTATGAGGGAGGAGCCTCCCCTTTTGCGCTCTCCTGCTTGTGCTTCCTCCCAGTATCCCACATCCCCACTTACCTCTGGGCTTTGGTCTCCTTCCCCCGGTGAACCTAGTTTAAAGCCCTCCTCACTAGGTTAGCCAGCCTGCTTGCAAAGATGCTCTTCTCTCTCTTCGTTAGGTGGAGCCCATCTCTGCCAAGCACTCCTCCTTCTTGGAACACCATCCCATGATCAAAGAATCCAAAGCCTTCACTCCAACACCATCTGTGTAGCCATTCGTTGACTTCCACAATTCGACAGTATTTACGCAGGCCTTTTCCTTCCACAGGGAGGATGGACGAGAACACCACTTGCACCTCAAACTCCTTTATCCTTCTTCCCAGAGCCACGTAGTCTGCAGTGATCTGCTCAAGGTCATTCTTGGCAGTGTCATTGGTGCCCATCTGGAGAAGCAGGAAGGGATAGCGATCCGAGGGCTTGATGAGTCTCGGCAGTCTCTCTGTCACATCGTGAATCGTGAATACCATTGTGACCAGATGGTATTCAGCCAAGAGTTCTGCAGTTTCATATTTGAGTTCCTTCAGAACTTCTAACTATGACATGTAACTTATCACTTAAATCAGCCTCTGTACCAGATGACTAGAGGATAGCTAATGTAACGCCAATTTTTTAAAAAGCCTCCAGAGGCTATACTGGCAATTACAGGCCAGTAAGCCTTAACTTCAATACCAGGCAAATTGGTTGAAACAAATAGTAAAGAACAGCATGATAAGAGACATAGATGAACACAGTATGTTGGGGAAGAGTCAACACTGCTCTAGTAAAGGAAATCATGCCTCACCAACATACTAGAATTCTTTGAGGGGTTCATAAATATGTGAACCAGCGTGGTCCGTTTGATGGAGTGTACTTGGACTTTCAGAAAGCCTTTGGCAAGGTCCCTCACCAAAGCTCTTAAAGTAAGCAGTCATGGGACAAGGAAGGAAGGTTCTCTCATGGATCCATAACTGATTAAAAGATAGGAATAAAGGGTCAGTTTTCACAGTGGAGAGAGGTGAATAGTGGAGTCACCCAAGGATCTGTACTAGGACCTGTGCGAGTCAAAAATGATCTGGAAAAAATGATAAACAGTGAGGGGGCAAGGTTTGCAAACAATAATAAGTTACTAAAGATAGTTAACTTCAAAGCAGACTGTGAAGAGTTACAAAGGGATTTCACAAAACTGGGCGAGTGGGCAACAAAATGGCACTTGAAATTCAATATTGAAAAGTGCAAAGTAATGCACACTGGAAAACATAATCCCAACTATACATACAAAATGATAGGGTCTAAATTAGCTGTTACCACTAAAGAAAGAGATCTTGGAGTCACCATAGATAGTTTGCTCATCCGCTCAGTGTGCGCTGGCAATCAAAAAAAGCTAACGGAACGTTAGGTACCATTTGGAAAGGGATTGATAATAAGACAGCAAATATCATAGTGCCACCATATAAATCCACTGTAAGCCCACACCCTGAATACCGTGTGTAGGTCTCGTCATCCTGTCTCAAAAAAGATATTAGAATTGGCAAAAGTACAGAAAAGGCAACAAAAATGATATGGAGTATGAAACAGCTTCCACATAAGCAGAGATTAAGAAGACAAACCGTTCAGCTTGGAAAAGGGACAACTGAGGGAAGATATGATAGAGGTTTATAAAATCATGAATGGTGTGGAGAAAGTGAACAAGTGTTTTTTTTACCCCTTCATATAACACACAAAACGGGGTCCCCAATATAATTAATAGGCAGGAAGTTTAAAATAAATAAAGGAAGTACTTCTTCACACAACACACAGTCAACCTGGAACTCATTGCCAGGGGATGTTGTGAAGGCCAAAAGTGTAATTGGGTTAAAAAAAAATTAGATAAATTCATGGAGGATAGGTCCATCAATGACTATTAGCCAAAATCAGCAGGGATGTAATCCCATGCTCTGGGTGTCCCTAAACCTCTGATTGCTAGAAGCTGGGACTGGACGACAGGGGTAGGTAGATCATTCTATAAATTGTCCTGTTCTGTTCAACACCTCTGAAGCACCTGGCACTGGTCACTGTCGGAAGACAGGATACCGGACTAGATTTACATTGGTCTGACCTCGTATGGCTGTTCTTATGTTCATTAGAACATATCGAACCATAAATGAAATTCTTACAGTAGTTGACAGCTTAGTCAAATACGAAACAGTGTGGTCTACACTGCCAAATTGTTAATCTCAGCTCAGGTTTCCTAGCTGAACGCTTCACAGTAGCTACTATTGCATAATCATTGTGTGTCCCACCTTTGGTTTTCAATGTTTGGTTTTGTGACCTTTTGTTTTAACCTCTTCCTAAAGATGTTTTAATAGACAACATCTATACAACAAAATGAAACATCACAATCTCAGGGTTTCACTGGGGGAGTGCATTTCACAAACGTATCAGGACCCATAAGGAAGATTAGTGCAATTTACCACCTCCTTTCTCCTTGATACAGAAATGCACCCCAGCCCCATCTACAGGGTGCAGATTCCCTTCCCAGCATGCTGTGCTGTCTCTTAAGTGAAATAAATAGATAATCTCAAGCAGGGATCATTAGCTTTAACTTCCATAGCTCACACTTACTTCCAAGCGAAACAACAGGAGCTGCATGTGCTCGTTTTTTATGAATGTTAGGTGTGGCGCTCTGACGCCTGGCAAGTTGCCGTTATAGGGCTCAATTGGGCAAAGAATGGGCGTCCCTCCAAAGAGGTGAAAAACAGCTGAAAAAACTGCATTGTACATTAACTAACAGAAAGCCTCACAGACATTTTGGATTGCATTCTTGCACCTGTTAGCAGAAACAGCTGCAAATGCGAAGCTGAAGAGCTTTACCGTAGAACTGTTTAAAGAAATGAAAACTAAAAACACATCAAAGCAAGAGCACCCTGGTTTATGGGCATTCAACAATCATGGTCGATTTTAAATAATAAAAATAATACATTTTAAAGTGTAGAATAAGCATTCATGTTTTATTGATCTGCCACTTTCTGAAGAATCTAGTTTCCTACTTTGAGTACCTAAAGTCAGGAATCTAAATTCATATTCGGAAGCCTGAACATTAGCTTTATGAACAACAAACTTTGGGTGCTAAATAGAGACGTAATCAGCATGTAAATATTAATAAAAACAAGAATTTAGATTACTTAAACAATGATACATGTACCTAACTTTAGGCATGCTCATGTGAAAAACGGACCCTAAAGAAGATAAGATATAAACTAAAGTCCAAAGCCAACCAATAGTTCATAGTGATTCCAAAATCAGCTTTCAGGTGATGCAGGCTCACATACATATGCACAAGACAAAACATGACTTTGCAGTCCATGTGACACTGAAAAATATTTCCAGACTTGAAAATATAACAACACAGTTCTGTGGGAGCCTTCAACTACATGATTTTCAAACTGCCCCAATAAGTTCACTAACAATTCAGGAACCACCCCTTCCACCAGGGGAAAAAGGCCACCTCGGAAGTGGTCAGATATTACAAGAGAGGAGGCCCAGATCAGATGGATCGAACAACCCAGCTGCTGTTGAACAGGGAACAGAAAGGCTCCACCCGAGTTGGAGCCAAGGGGGTAGCAAGCAGCCCCGAACAGATGAGATGTGGGAACTTGAAAAGAGAGAGTCCCGCGCCGCTGCACCAGCTTGGAGCCGGCAGTGACCCCCAAGAGGTTAAAGCGAGCCAGCCAGCCAGCCAGCCAGCCCTCGAGGGGAGGAACCACGAAGCCCGCCAGGTCCCCGCGCTAACCCGTTGCCTTTCCCCTTCTCTCTTTCAGTTCCACTTTGGGGCGCCCTCCATATCCTCTCTTGCTATTTCTAGCTGCTCGGCGCCCTGCCAAGTGACTGGCTGCTAGAAAAGGAGGGAAGAAGGAGAAACCAGCCCAGCCCCGTGTCTGGGGTGCGGGGTTTAATCTCCACACACCCGGCCCCCGGCGGGGCGCGCTCCCAGGTCTGGCTCTTCTGCCAGGAGCCCGGGGGAGGGTGATTTGTCTCCCCAGAGGAGCTGCCCACTCCCCCGCCCACAGCCCGCGGCGGCACCTACCTGCTACCGGGGAGGGTTTGCGCAGCACCAGCCACCTATTCTTCCACTGCGGAGAAACAAGGAGACATCAGCGTTAGCCCGCGGCCAGCTCTCCCCTCCCCCGCCAGCCAAGCAGCCCCCGGGGCTCGGCGCCCTGCCGGGGTGGGGAGAGAGGGGGCAGTCCCTGGGGGCGGGGGGTAGGAGTAGGGCCCCCCCCCTGCAAAGCGGGAAGGCTGCAAAGCGGGGACCTTTTTTCCATCTCTCAATTTGACATGACCCTCCACCACCACGGAATCCGTCATCTTCAGTCATGATTCCGGAGCCAGACAGCTGCTCCCGGCGCGGCGCGGCGCGGCGCTCGCTCGCTCGCTCCCGGGGCCGGGGCCGCGGGGTCACTTTCAAAATAGCTTTATTAGCTCGCCGCTGCACGCGGACAGCCCGGGGGCTGGGGGGGGGGCGCCAGCCGCAGCCCCGCGCTCCCTGCGGCGGCACGGCCGAGCCAGTGCACCCCCCCCCCCCCCTCTTGCCTCAGGGGGGCTGGCTGCGCTCTGGCCGGGCCGGACTCAAGGGCTCGGACCGGTGCTTAGACACGTTTTGAAAGATCCCCCTTGTCCCGAGCATCGGGGTAGCCGTGTTAGCCTGTTCCCACGAAAACAAGGAGGCGGCCGGTGGCACCTTTAAGACTAACAGATTTTCGTGGGTAAAAAAAAACAAAAAAACACTTTTTTCACCTCTGAAGAAGTGGGGTGAGGAGGGGGGTTACCCACAAAAGCTTATGCCCAAATAAATCTGCTAGTCTTAAAGGTGCCACCGGCCTCCTTTCCCTTAGCGCAGGGGTGGCCGGCCTGTGGCTCCGGAGCCACATGTGGCCCTTCAGACGTTAACATGCGGCTCCCTGCATAGGCACCGACTCCGGGGCTGGAGCGACAGGCGCCAACTTTCCAATGTGCCAGGGGGGCACTCACTGCTCAACCCCTGGCTCTGCCCCAGGCCCTGCCCCCACTCCACCCCTTCCTGCCCCCTCCTCTGAGCCAGCCATGCCCTCGCTCCTCCCCCTTCCCCAGAGTTTCCTGCACACCACAAAACAGCTGATCGGGAGGGAGGGGAGGTGCTGATCAGTGGGTAGGAGGCCCTGGGAATGGAGCGGAGTGGGGCGGGGGAATGCTGACGTATTACTGTGGCTCTTTCGCAATGTACATTGGTAAATTTTGGCTCCTTCTCAGGCTCAGCTTGGCCACCCCTGCCCTAGCGTTGTGAGCAGGGGGCAAATACGCAGCTTGCCACAGCCCTGAACTTTGGGAGAGGCGCTTGGCTGTTTAATGGGCCAGGGTGAAACACTAGATTGCCACCTACCCTAAGGCAACTTAACCGCTGTTCCATGGGATGAAGCGGTGCACCAGTCCCAACACCCCACAGGAACCCTGAGAACTGGGTTTGGACCTTGAGCTAACCCAGCGTTGAGCTCTGGGCATCGCATCAAGCACTCGCATAGTCCCGTGAAAGGCCAGCGGGAGTCCTCATGTGTTCAGCATTGTGCACAGGCATAATGGGCTGGGCTGGGCTGGGCTGGGTCGGGTCAAAACCAGGGCGCTGAACTCTGCCGTGGAGAGTCATCGCTACTTTTCATAGGCAGGAAGATCAGCCTAACGGACAAGAATCAGGATTAAGACATAAATACTTACTTCATTATCCTAATGAGCGTGAGCAATGCTCCCTACTGCCACTCTAGCTCCATCCCCTTAGATTAGAACTTGGGCACGTTCATTCTGTTAGAAACCGAAACATTTTGTGGTTCATCTCAACCCAGAGGTGAATTTTCCCAGTAAGTCTGAGCAAACTAGCTACGCCGTGCCCATTGAGGTACAGGCACTACATAATTGCTGTACATGTTTATTATTTATACTGGAGCAGATTTCCCAAGGCACAAAAGGCAGTTGAGCACCAGCTCCCATTTAAAACGAAGGTGAGTTAAGCAGTTGCGTCTCCGAACTCCCTCACAGTGCCCAACAGTGTGTTAGGTACCTTAAATTCAGACTAAGACAGGTCTGCCCCTGGAAGAGTTTACAGTGCCAAGCCTCCCTCTTGCAATCCAGTGCACAGATCCATTATAATCAGTGGGGCACTGCACAGGTGCAAGGATCCACAGCTCATCGAGATCCGTTGCAGGACAGAGGGCTATATGAACAAAAGGTAAATTCAGAATAGGTAAATTATACCAAACAAAGAGAAGCTCTCCTCTCCCTTGGAGGAATATACAGCCCAGTGTGCTATAGCTTGACTCCTTACAAGAGGAATTATCTGCCACCAGATTAGTGGAAAACAATAAACACAGAATCATAGAATATCAGGGTTGGAAGGGACCTCAGGAGGTCATCTAGTCCAACCCCCTGCTCAAAGCAGGACCAATCCCCAACTAAATCATCCCAGCCAGGGCTTTGTCAAGCCTGACCTTAAAACTTCAAAGGAATTAGATTCCACCACCTCCCTAGGTAACGCATTCCAGTGCTTCACCACACTCCTGTCAAGGTTCCTTCCCCACTCTGAACTCTAGGGTACAGATGTGGGGACCTGCATGAAAACCTCCTAAACTTACTTTTACCAGCTTAGGTTAAAACTTCCCCAAGGTACAAATTAATTTTATCCTTTGTCCTTGGAATATCCACTGCCACCACCAAACTCTAACTGAGTTTACAGGGAAACGTAGTTTGGACACGTCTTTCCCCCCAAAATCCTCCCAACCCTTGCACCCCACTTCCTGGGAAAGGTTTGGTAAAAATCCTCACCAATTTGCATAGGTGACCACAGACCCAAACCCTTGGATCTGAGAACAATGAAAAAGAATTCAGTTTTCTTACAAGAAGACTTTTAATAGAAATAGAAGTAAATAGAAGTAAAGGAATCACCTCTGTAAAATCAGGATGGTAGATACCTTACAGGGTAATTAGATTCAAAACATAGAGAATCCCTCTAGGCAAAACCTTAAGTTACAAAAAGGACACACAGACAGAGATAGTCATTCTACTCAGCACAATTCTTTTCTCAGCCATTTAAAGAAATCATAATCTAACACATACCTAGCTAGATTACTTACTAAAAGTTCTAAGACTCCATTCCTGGTCTATCCCCGGCAAAAGCAGCATATAGACAGACAGAGACCCTTTGTTTCTCTCCCTCCTCCCAGCTTTTGAAAGTATCTTGTCTCCTCATTGGTCATTTTGGTCAGGTGCCAGCAAGGTTACCTTTAGCTTCTTAACCCTTTACAGGTGAGAGGATTTTTCCTCTGGCCAGGAGGGATTTTAAAGGGGTTTACCCTTCCCTTTATATTTATGACACCTCCTATGTCATCTGCTACCACTGAGAACAGTCTAAATCCATCCTCTTTGGAACTCCATTTCAGGTAGTTGAAAGCAGCTATCAAATCCCCCCTCATTCTTCTCTTCCGCAGACTAAACAATCCCAGTTCCCTCAGCCTCTCCTCATAAGTCATATGCTCCAGACCCCTGATCATTTTTGTTGCCCTCCGCTGGATGTTTTTCAATTTTTCCACATCCTTCTTGTAGTGTGGGACCCAAAACTGGACACAGTACTCCAGATGAGGCCTCACCAATGTCAAATAGAGGGGAACAATCACATCCCTCGATCTGCTGGCAATGCCCCAACTTATACAGCCCAAAATGCCATTGGCCTTCTTGGCAACAAGGGCACACTGTTGACTCATATCCAGCTTCTCATCCACTGTAACCTCTAGGTCCTTTTCTGCAGAACTCTTGCCTAGCCACTCGGTCCCTAGTCTGTAGCAGTGCATGGGATTCTTCCGTCCTAAGTGCAGGACTCTGCACTTGTCCTTGTTGAACCTCATCAGATTTCTTTTGGCCCAATCCTCTAATTTGTCAAGCATCCTCTGTATCCTATCCCTACCCTCCAGAGTATCTACCTCTCCTTCCAGTTTAGTGTCATCTGTAAACTTGCTGAGGATGCAATCCACGCCATTCTCCAGATCATTAATGAAGATATTGAACAAAACCAGTCCCAGGACCGACCCTTGGGGCACTCCACTTGATACCGGCTGCCAACTAGACATGGAGCCATTGATCACTACCCGTTGAGCCCGACAATCTAGCCAGCTTTCTATCCACCTTCTAGTCCATTCATCTAGCCCATACTTCTTTAACTTGCTGGCAAGAATACTGTGGGAGACCATTGCAAAAGCTTTGCTAAAGTCAAGGAACAACATGTCCACTGCTTTCCCCTCATCAACAGAGCCAGTATCTCATCATAGAAGGCAATTAGATTAGTCAGGCATGACTTGCCCTTGGTGAATCCATGCTGACTGTTCCTGATCACTTTCCTCTCCTCTAAGTGCTTCAGAATTGGTTCCTTGAGGACCTGCTCCATGATTTTTCCAGGGACCGAGGTGAGGCTGACTGGCCAGTAGTTCCCCGGATCCTCCTCCTTCCCTTTTTTAAAGATGGGCACAACATTAGCCTTTTTCCAGTCATCTGGGACCTCCCCCGATCGCCGTGAGTTTTCAAAGATAATGGCCAATGGCTCTGCAATCACATACACCAACTCCTTTAGCACTCTCGAATGCAGCGCAATCCGGCCCCATGGACTTGTGCTCATCCAGCTTTTCTAAATAGTCCCGAACCACTTCTTTCTTCACAGAGGGCTGGTCATCTCCTCCCCATGCTGTGCTGCCCAGTGCAGCAGTCTGGGAGCTGACCCTCTTTTTCCACATCGTCTGTCAACTAGGTTGCCTATCCCATTCAGTAAGGGGCCCACACTTTCCTTGACTTTCTTCTTGTTGCTAACATACCTGAAGAAACCCTTCTTGTTACTCTTAACATCTCTTGCTAGCTGCAACTCCAGGTGTGATTTGGCCTTCCTGATTTCACTCCTGCATGCCCGAGCAATATTTTTATATTCTTCCCTGGTCATTTGTCCAATCTTCCACTTCTTGTAAGCTTCTTTTTTGTGTTTAAGATCAGCAAGGATTTCACTGTTAAGCCAAGCTGGTCACCTGCCATATTTACAATTCTTTCTACACATCGGGATGGTTTGTCCCCATAACCTCAATAAGGATTCTTTAAAATACAGCCAGCTCTCCTGGAATCCTTTCCCCCCTCATGTTATTCTCCCAGGGGATCCTGCCCATCAGTTCCCTGAGGGAGTCAAAGTCTGCTTTTCTGAAGTCCAGGGTCCGTATTCTGCTGCTCTCCTTTCTTCCTTGTGTCAGGATCCTGAACTCGACCATCTCATGGTCACTGCCTCCCAGGTTCCCATCCACTTTTGCTTCCCTTACTAATTCTTCCCGGTTTGTGAGCAGCAGGTCAAGAAGAGCTCTGCCCCTAGTTGGTTCCTCCAGCACTTGCACCA